AATCAAAATACAGACAAATCAAAATACAGACAAATAAAAACACAGACAAATCAAAATGCAGACAACAAATTAAAATAATATTAGTTTTTTAGAATGTTTCCTACTTAAAAAAGTGGCGGAAATTTTCAGTATTTTTATTAAAATATTGTTTCGTTTTTTTGTTAAAGAAAGCGCCGCAGGCGAAAATTTTCATTATTCATTATTTCTTAAAATATAATTTAATATAAAAAAAGCGCCGCAGGCGAAAATTTGGAATAAAAAATCGCGCGATTTTTTATTCCAAATTTTCAGTATTTCTTAAAAGATAATTTAATATAAAAAAACGCCGCAGGCGAAAATTTGAAATGAAAAATCGCGCGTCTTTCGTGTTTAGTTTGGCAATACCATGGAAATATATTCGCGCGATTTTTTATTCCAAGTTTTCAGTATTTCTTAAAATATAATTTAATATAAAAAAACGCCGCAGGCGAAAATTTGGAATGAAAAATCGCGCGTCTTTCATGTTTAGTTTGGCAATACCATGGAAATATATTCAATCTAATATCAAATTTGATAAAAGAGCAAGTTTTTGTAGAAACTAAAATTGAAAAGGTGCTTAGTGGAGAAAAACAAGCTAAACGGCGAGGCCTGGAGAACAGAACATTTAAAACAATGGTTATGGAAAGGGAAAACTATGCTCCCAAAGAATACTTAGCCAATATAGCTAAGCATCTCAATTTAATATAAGTAGTTAATGATTGTTTGTAAATACTTACTAATTAAAATTTTTTAAATAAATTCCGGTACACTGAAATTGTTTTGTTGAAGAAGGTTAGGGGTGTATTCGGGATTTTTTTAGAAAAGTATTCCCCAGTATTTTTCCCACAGTATTTTTGCGCAGATCTCTCTGCGAGCCTAACTACGACTTAACACACGATTTTGATTTGCATTTTTTCCCCTCATGTCTGTATTTTGATTTGTCAGTATTTTGATTTGCCTGTATTTTGATTTGTCAGTACTTTGATTTGTCAGTATTTTGATTTGTCTGTATTTTGATTTGTCTGGATTTTGATTTTTCTGCATTTTTGAATTTTGTCTTTATTTTGATATGTCTGGATTTTGAATTTCCGGATTATGAATGTAACCGCTAGCTAATATCACACTAAGATTTTTTGGCAATTTTCTCAGCCAAAGTTTCTTTAAAATATTTTGACTAAAATTGGAACCTGCAAGCAACATGAGCAACCGATAAAATTCAGAGGGTTTACGATCACCCATCTCTGAATCTGACAAAATTTTATCTAATTTCTTATTTTCGCTTAAAGAATGCCTTTCAATTAAGACTTTCTTTAATTCTGTAAACTTGTTGTTATGCGGAGGATTTTGAATGAAATCTAATATTGTAACTATTACTTCTTGCGGAAGCGCTGTGATTGTATGTTCATATTTTGTAGTATCTTGTGTAATGTTTTTCATGTTAAATTGCATTTCCGTATGCACAAACCAAGCTTCTGGACAACTTGTCCAAAATTGCGGAAGCTTCACTGAGGTTGCATATACCTCATTATTATTTTGACTAGCATAAGGATTTGCCAACTCCTCTTGAAAAGAGTTGTTTTGCAAATCTATAAGCGAGTCATTTAAATTATAAGTCCGTGTAGATATATGTGTACCATGTGGGGGTGAACGAAATATTATGATAACTTCGCCCAAAAAAAAAATAAAATTTCTATGAGTGTTTACAATTAAAAATTAAAGGATATACATATAATAATAAATATAAAAATATTTTTATCAAAAATTTTACATAAAAAGAAACAGCTCACTGTGCTCTGCAACTGCTGATATTGACAGCACAGTCAACGTGATTGTTGCTGCGTTGTCGTTGCTATTGCTTCTTACCGTTCTTGTTGTTGCCAGTGGTAGGAGCTTTGCTTTTGTATAGTTGATATTTACACTGCTGCTAGTACTGGTTGTTATCACTACTATTATCGACGGAGTTATCAACTGCGTCTAAAGTTTATGTTCTTCATTTGTTGAGCGTTTTTGTGCTGCTGCTACTGCTGCTTCCGTTGCTACTACTGGCACTGAAACTGGTACGTGACATTGCTGATGTTCACGTTGATTTTCCTGCTGCTACTAACGCTGTCGCTGTCTGTTGTTGTACGCAGTAGTTGTTATTGGAGTTAGTGTTGGCGTTAATGAGTAGGAAAGATATCGCCGCTTCTTAAGTGGTGAACTTGAATCGTTAATTCTCCTCTGTTATGAAGTAAATGTTGTGGTTGTAGTTGAAACAGCTTCTGCGACTAGCTGAAGCTGAAGCAGATGCTAATGCTGACGCTGTTAGTTTTAATTGATGCTGATTGTAGTGGCGTTTGCAATCCCTGCATGCTACGCTTACTTGGACACTGGATGAAGCAACCTCTATTGTAGTTCCGGGAATTTGCCAAAACTGAAGACTTGCATGGCGCGCAGGCCTCTCGTGATGTTTTCAAATCAGCACAGGCACAATTGTGGTTCGCAAAGATATACGTAAACGTATAATGGCTTGAGGTGCTCCTGGCAGGATCGCCAAAAATGTAGTTGATTCCAAAGATATTTTTTAAAATATTTTTATTAAAAGTTAACAAAACTTAATTTGTTTTTATATTGTTAGCAATTCGAGTAAAGTTTGAATAATGAAAATTTTCTATTTGATTTTTGAACTACAAAAATCACTTAAGTTTAAAATTTCTAAAATTACAAAGTTGAAATTAACACAGTAAAATAAAAGGTAATAACACAAATACAAACCCTACACAAGAAATTTAATACAAGACTTACCTCAGTCAATTTAATAAATCATATGCATGTACATACATACTTTTACTTTCATAAAAGTTCATAGTGATGAGACCTTCTAGAATCCAATCATAAAAGTCTACGCTCTGTTGTAGTAGTAGGCTCCTGTATGCTACGAAAGTGTGTAGTGAACTTTATCCGCTGCAAAATACTGCTCCACATCCACGAAGCAGCATACGCCCGAATATGTCGGCGCCTATATACATAAATACCTACGGTACTGTAACCTCTATTCTAGAGATTAGGGCTTAACGAATAAATGCACTCGAATTATTAAGCTTGAGATTAATTTCTTTCGGTTTCAAATCTTTACGTTCACCATTGTCCCCATTACCAAAACAACTGACTGATTTTTGATTATCAGAAAGGCGACTCGTGAAAATTAAAAGACTACATACATTCCTTCAGTGGTTTCTTTGTACATACTTACTCGCTTGGGTAATGACGACGGCAATGTACAAACATACAACGATTTTTAACAAAACGTATTCAAAGTAGAGCTCTTCAAGAATATTTTTATTTATAAAAGTTTATTGATGAAATACAATATATAAAAGTAATAATGGTCCTTGGTCTTATTCTACTCTTTCCATTCATATACTTTTAAAGGTATTTTAATGGTTTTATGTTATACCAGCAAAAATTAAAATGGCGAGTTTAATGAGAAAAAAAAAATAGTTCGACTTTCACAAAGAACTCGAAAGTAGTCGTAGAATGAGTTTTTGTATATAGTAGAAGATCCGAATAGGGCACGACCTTCAGCCTTCTGTTTAATGGATGAAATTTATTTTGTAATTTTTTAACGTGTGAGGAAATATTTCGGAAGTGAGTTGGCTGAAAAAGTCTGCCCAGAATATTTTTGATTATATATTCAAAAATTATATTTTTTTCTAATTTTTCACTCATTTGTTAAATGAACAAATTACATATATACTAATCGAAAGCATAAAGCCTATAGAATGTGTTAAACAGATGAGTGAAAATTACTAGTATTACTTACCTGTTCATATCTACCAACCCGATAGGTAAGCCAGGAAAAAATAGACAACCCAACGTTTTCACATTATATAGGCTGCATACTTTCGATTGGTATATAATTTGTACATTAAACAAATGAGTGCAAGATTAAAATAAAAATATGTTTGAATATTTAATTTAAAATATTTGGGTCAGGATTTTTTCAGCCAACCCACTCGCGAAACATTTACTAACACGTTAAATTTCATACAAAATAGATTTCATTTATTAAACAAATGGGTGAAGCTGGGTAATAGAAGTTCACAAAGAATGATTTATTTTCATTTGACACTTCTAGTAGGCATATATCGTTACTTTAAAATTAAATATAGGAAGGCGCTAACTCAATCAAATTTAGCTCTCTTTGTAGCCGACTATATCGATGGAAGATCGACCTATCTCGGCAGCCAGTTCGAAAACGCCCTATCTCAGAAAATTTTTCAACAACGCCCTATTGCTGAATTTGGTTGAAGAACGCCCTATTTTAAAATTTGATTGAAAAAGACCCTATCTCAGAATTCGGTTCAAAAACGCCCTATCCCAGCACATTTTCAATAGGAGTATTCTCGAAATTTCGCAAAGTTGTTGCACGTAGCACAGATTGCATAACTTGCAAATACACAACAACAAAATACATGGGAAACAACATATCTTATCGCTGCAAAATGTGCAACGTCGAAACCCATGTATATATTTTGCAAAAAAGCATAGAAAGATAAATGCGACCCTTTGCTAGTTGTTTTGTTGTTGGAATTGCTACATATTTCTCTCATTACTCTAATTTCGCTCAATTCATTTTTTTTTGCTGTATCTTCTTATTGTATTTGATACAGAACTTCGCTGTTCTTCACCAATGCATGCTACTATTTTGCGATGAGGGGCTCTCGTACTCTTGCAAATTTGGAATATATTTTTGCATTTGATATATTCCCTGCTACGTGCAAGACTTCGAGAATAACCCTAATATATTTTCGTTTGGGATAGGGCGTTTTTGAACTGAATTCTGAGATAGGGCGTTCTTCCACCAAATTCACAGATAGGGTGTTTTCCAATAAAATTCTGAAATAGGGCGTTCTCAATCAAATTCTGAGGTAGGACATTCTTGAAAAGTTTTCTGAGATAGGCTGTTTTCGAATTGGCTGTCGAGATAAGTCAATCTTCCACTCAGCCATCGATATGTAGTGTTAGAAAAAGAAAACGAAACCGATTCCTTTAATACGATTTCGAATATCTATTATTTATTTGATATTCCAGTCGCAGTCCAAAACGGAGAACCATCAAAATCACTTCTACTTTGTTGGATATATTTACTATATATTTAAAAAACGCATTTTACAAACAAACATATTTTAAAGTAATAGAAACCATTAAACTAAAATTCATGTTCAAGATAAGGTGAAAATTAAAAGTTGCGTTAGCAAAATAAATACATTGATCTCTAGTAAGTCTTCAACTAAGTACTTTGTAAATTTCCTTATCTCTTATTCACATTGAAGTAAAGTTTTAGGCACAAAATTACACATGTATTCACCTAGTTCAGGTATTGGTTTCTTTTCGACCCATTCATCACATTCGGCATTATAAACTGACATGTCGTTATTTATATAAAGTCCGTTTGAACCTCCGACAGCCCACAGTTTATCACCTACAAAAACACAACCCATGCAACCACGTCCAACATTCAAAGAGCACATCTATGAGAAGTAATAAAAAATTGTGTTTTGGCGTTTTTAAATTTTTGGTGTAACTATTTCAACCAACCTTTGTCCATTTGTCACTTTGAGGGTCATAACGCTCGACTGTCTCATTTTCCCAAATACCTCCTAAAACGTATATGCATCCATTGTGTACGGCTACCTAAAATGTGAAGTGTTATGCATACATTAGGACAAATCGACTTCTGATTATGCTTTTATCGTAAGCGACAAAAGGTAAATTTTACAGGAGAGGTTTTTTTAATTCTCCTTATTGAATGATAACTTTCTAATGGGACTATTTGTTTTTTGCATACCTTATTTTCTAAAGGTAAAATGGCGCTTACGATATTTTTCCTGAACATGCTGAGAGGAAAGTTATCAAAGAATTGGCGCTTTCGATAGTTTTTATGTTGTATTATTTGGATATTTATAAACGAAGGAGTGCCGGTACTTTCAGGATTTTTTGAAAAAACTGAATTTTAAGTCAATTAAATATAAACATTGTCAATCAGCAGAATAAGCTCAACATATTTTCAACTTTAACTGTTTGGCGCATCTACTAGATTGTCCACAAGTTGTCTTCGTGGATGCAGAGTTTAAGCTCATTCAATTCTCTACAAACTAAAACGACCACATTGGCGCTACTATTTGGTATTTTTTCACGTCTTTTTTTTAAGAATGAGAAAAAAGTAAAATTTAATCCTTGACTAGAATACATTCAGTGCCAAAATCTTCATATTAGGGAGATTTTTGGTAAGTTTCGAAATCTGTTGTTATATTCCTCGACTCGTCGTGCGTTTTAAAACTAGTTTTTGGAGAGAAAAAAATTGCTAAACGAAAACTTTTAATCAAATACTGAAATTTTATATAAAAAAAAAGACTAAAGTGCAAAAGTTATGATAAGCAAAAGTGATAAATCAAAATCTGATCAGCAATTTGAAAGGAGATAAACGGTAAAATGAAATAATTTCGAAAGCGTGAATCCATAAGCTGGTGGTGTTAAAATGGCAATTTCGAATTCAGTTCGAATTTTTTCTATACCAGTGCATACAATAGGAATATAAGCACCGTTAGGTGTTTGTTTTTCAACTTTCTGGTACGCTTTTAAATCTTATAACCCATTGACAAAGCACGAGTTTTAACAAAGACCCCGCCAGACGGGCCACGCTGCACTTAGCCACTGTAGCTGCAATTGCATAATGGCAGATTGCACCTAATATTGGTGAGGGAAAGGAGCTGAATGCTTAAAAATTCAGTTGTAGCAAGTGCCGATGGAACTTGGGTTAAAAGTACAGTTCGAACAGCTATTTACAATTAAGTTGTGTACACACAGTGTCGCTTACGATAAAATTGTAGGAATTCAAATGTGTAAACAAAACAAACGATAAAATTCAGTTTGCTTTTTTTCGAAACAGTAAATATTCAGTTTGTGAAAAAATTATATCGTCGGCTTAGAGTGTAAAGCTGCTAAATCCGTTTTTTGGCAAACTTGACCTTTTGATGCAGTTCGAAGGAGTAGGCGATTCCGCAGTTGGCAAGCAAAAAAATACGTCAATATAAAAAATATAATTGTCAAAAATTGTTTGATGAGTAAAGCTGCTAAGTACAATCAGTTCAAATTCAACTGCTAAATCCAACATATTGTGCTTCTGTCGCTCGATTATTGTTCTATCTTAGAGTATTACTTTATGCGTTTAAGCCAAGGTAATAGCCAGCGAATAAGCTTTAATTTTTTATATCTCAAGAAAATTATTGTTACTTGTGGAACGAAACAGAAGGAAGATTAAATGCAGAAGAGTTTTCCAGCGTGTGGGTAGATTTGATAGAAAAAAATGTAGTACCAACTAATAGTTCCGGGGAGCCAATTACAGTAATTTTTTATAGCGACGGATGTACATATCAAAACCGAAACAGTATTATGGCTAATGCTTTGTTATCCACAGCTATAAATAACAATATCATTATTGAGCAAAAGTTTCTTGAAGAAGGTCATACCCAAATGGAAGCTGATTGTATCCATTCCACTATCGAACGAGCACTAAAGAAAAGTGATATCCATGTTCCTGCAGAATACATTGAAGTATGTAGATCACCTATAAAAAATCCAAAACCATATGACGTAACTTATCTTAGTTACACGTTCTTTAAAAGCTTTAACACAGTTCAATTCTTTAATAGCATTCGTCCCGGTCGCGGCAAGGGTGCTGCTAAAGTAACTGATATACGAGCCCTACGGTATACACCAATTGGCGACATACATTTCTAACTAAGATTCTCCAACGAATGGCAAGTAATACCGCAAAGAAAATCCCCAATAGCTATTTCCTTGCCGTTTTTCACCTTCCGAATTTATACGAGAGTAGGCGTACGATTGCTCGCAGAAAGTACGAGATCTCCAGTATTTCAAACGATTACTTCCTGAAGATTACCACACCTACTGTGACAATTTACCTTATGATTGAATAATATGTATCATACTTTCTGGTATTATTGAGTTCCTACTTAAATTATCTTATATGTGGAGTTCGTACTATTAATTTGAGAGAGGAATACATCACGTATAGTTACTAATATATATGTATTATAAACTGCCTATTTTTGTTGCAATAAACGGAAGAATAAATCTGTTGTATTATTTTATATATACAGTAAGACCCGCTAAAGTACCTCACGAAATGTACCCTCTATGCGGGTACTTAAGCGACCATAATACATCTTCTTGTTAACTTACATAATAATAAAACATAAACATTTAATGAAGTATACGTAATTTAAAACCAAGATCGTGGCATTATTTAAACACGTAAACACATAAAAAACAGACTTCAGCAGGTCTAGAAAAAAGAAGTCTGATGAGGAGATGTGGTGATCTCCGAAATAGTGCTATAACTTCTACCGCTTAGACTTTGTTGCTTTTTCAATTTTTCCTAATAAACAATCGTGGTACAAAGCTCAATAAAAATATTAAAAATAAAAAATGTTAACAAGCCACAGTAACATTGACAAATAAAATTATATTGTTTGCCACTTATGTTTATTTTTTAATTTTTAAAATTTTTCAATTAAAAAAAATTCATTCCCTAACAAAAACCATAGAAACTTAAAATATAAGCTTAAAATTTTGCAGAACACTGAAAAAAAAAATCACCAAAATGTCAAACTTGTTTTTCAGAAGTGTTAAAATGTTTTATGAGTATACAGTTTTATAGCCCATTCAATTTTAGTGTAATAATGCGCAGGTTTCAAGTGGCTAAAATTAACGTTGATTTTTTAGAATTTTTTTCCGAAGGTGTGTAGCGCTGCCACTGAATTTCAAAATATGTAAATGTTTGAAGAAATTTAAAAAAGGCACTTAAAAGGGGAAAATTATAAGTAAAATGGTATATGGGGTACGAAAAATATAGGTACTTAGGCGGGTTGGGTACATAAGCGGGGAGGTACTTAAAAGAGGGATTTTATTCAGAATACATTAAAAAATTCACGGTGCCTTAAAATGTTGGGAACTTAAGCGGGTTAGGTACTTAAGCGGGTTTCACTGTATCATTGTTTTTATCTATGGAATCCTATTTTAATTAACATTTAAATTGAGCTCATATTCGCAAAAAATAAAATAGAAACAGTTTTATTCATACAAAAAGCATGCTAAATCCACTTCAGTTTTGAAAATACAAAAACTAAAACCTGTTAAGTTAGAAATTCGCCAATAAAACCATAAAAACGTAATCTTTTTCATTCGTTCTGGATTAGGGCCATAAAACGTCGCGCGATTAACAAACTATATGTAGGATTTGCCCCTTAGACTAAGAGTTAAACATATATTTAGTTTATTGCCTCTACAGTAAAATATGTTTTTTGGTCGTTAGCAGGTTTACACTCTAAGGCGACGATATATTAAAGAATTGGGTATTATTATTGGCAGTCTCCTGAAGAGAAACAAAGTTTTCCGACCAAAAAATATTGATTTTCAAAAATTCTATACAATTTCTACGAAAACTTGTTTTTTCGCCATATGAAATACATACAAAACTTTGAGCGCTTTGAGCGACCTCTAAATATTTTTCGATTTCAAAATAAAAGGAAAAACAGGGGTATAATTTTTTCGGTATAGAACAATCCTAGGGGGTGAGGGCGGTAAAATGTCGACTTAACTTTTTTTTGGACCATCCTAATGTACATATACCTACATATGAATTTATGCTCAAATTACATTTACTTACTTTTGATATTTTGCCTCCTGCTATATACTTTTTCGAATATTTTGTCCGAAAAAAGTAAGAGAAAACTTATAAAATGAATACATACTCGATACATGCAACGGATATAAAAACAAAAATACAAACTTCTGTTTAAAATACGAGATTCTTAAGTGAGGCGGAGCTTGAGGATAAGAGAAACTATCGTAAACTCGCAACATCGGCTAACATAAGTTTCTGGGTCGGGTGGGATCGTTTATTTTCATATACATGTGCATGTACAGGGTGGGCCAAATAATACCAACCAATGTTAAACACGTATAACTTCTTTATTTTTTAATATTGTTATATTCTTTCTGCATGTTATAGTTAATCTCTTGGAAAATCATAATGGATACTTACAGCAAGACCACCAACAACGACTACAATACGCTATTCATTTTACACAATTAGACACACAAATTGATTTTTTAGGTAATGTTTTGATGTCGGATGAAGCGCATTTCCAAGAAAAACTGTAGATGGTGGGGCTCTGAAAACCCAAGGGCAACACACCAGCACCAGTTACCCCCATCCAGCTGCATTGTTTGGTGCGAAACGCCAGAAACGATTTCTGGGGCTTCTTACAGAACTATGATTGACAACTTTTTGTGGCCAACGGCAGAGCAGCATCTTAATTTGTGGTTCCAACAAGATGGAGCGACTGCGC